CTCACTCAGGAAAAGCATACGGATGAGAGAATGGAGTGTCTGTCCCTGTTTAGGGTGGTACCCTTATGTAAGAAGCAGGAAACCAGAGGGGTGGGGAGGAGAGAAAGAAAGGAGAAGAAAGAAAGGAAGGAAGGAAGGAAGGAAGGAAGGAAGGAAGGAAGGAAGGAAGGAAGGAAGGAAGGGAGGGAGGGAGGGAGAGGAGGGAGGGAGGGAAAGAGAGAGGGGGGTAGGGAGGGAGGGAGGGAGGGAGGAAGGAAGGAGGAAATGATTGGAGGACTTTGTTTTTATAACCTGGCCAAATATTTCCACAACTGTGAGGCCCCGTTTCAGCCGACTTGGTTTAGAAAATTGGGAGGAAATGAGAAAAGGCTTTGGCAACTCCCCCTTTTGCATCCGAGGTCCGTGAGGGGCTCACCTCTGGGCTGAGGAGACTCAGCATGAGAGACTTGCTTCCGATTGGTTTTCTTTGCTGAGGTTTGTATCCAAGCTCGACTTCTACCTCATATTTGTGAAGATAATAAAAGGCGGGGGGAGGCTGTAGCTGAAAGGGAGATGTGGGCAGAAATGGCAGATGTCTGTAGTTAGGATGATGGCGCCATTGATTGTGACTTACCTTCTAATGGCAAAGTTTCAAGAGATTTCACAATGATCTCTCTCCCTAAGGCCCCTTAGGGGTCTCCACTGCCGGGCGCATTCTTCACGCGGCATCAGAAAAGAGAGGGTGAAATCTAAGCAGTTTATTTAGTGCCTTCATGGGAAGTTCTCCCCAAAAGGGGGGCTTGTCCTTAGAATGCATATGTGTTTGCGTTGCCTCTGATTTGCATTAATTCTCTCTGACTCTATATACAGTCCCATTACCAGTCAAACAGAATCCCGGCCTTCTTGCTTAGCAGTGATGTAACAAATCTGACCACAATCTCAACATTTAAATAGTATCTACGGATCTTACAAAACTGCTTGATATTTTTCCCACTGGAAACTTGTTAACATGAAATGTGGCCACAGTATGCACTTGATAAGACTTAAATTTAAGGAAAAAAGAGGGTTTTTTTGGTTTTTTTTTTACTGTTTGAGTGATTGCTTTTGGATCATAGAGCTGCTTTGAGAATTCTCAACTATCTCAACTATAAAACGGGATATCCAGAAGGAATGCACCAAATCCCATAATTCAATCTCACAGACAGAGATGAGCCGGGCGGATGTAGGACCCAGGTGTTCAGAATCTACCATCAAGTCCTTGTTGACAGAAATCAGCAGGAGTTTAACTCAGACAGGCTGAGGCCAAAAAGAGATCCATTGATGGACTGAAACGCTTGGAGGGAGATCTTTGGCCTGGGGCATAGCGTGATCGACACGTGTGAAGAATTCTGTTACTCCTTCCCCGTTGCCTGAGCTTTGGCTTTCACGGGTCCTCTCTCCATGTGGGGAAAAGCTCCATGTTTATATCCCACAGTCTGAACAAATCCCCATGAAAAAAGATTTGCTCTTCTGGAGCTCTTCCGAAAGCCATCCCAGAACCTTGTCTGGCTGCCTGATTGGGTGGCCGTGGCTCCCTGGTGGACCAGTGACAGCGGCCACAGGACCTGAATCACGTGCTCTGTCAGCTCAGGCAGCTGGAAGGGGATTGTCAGGAAGAGGGGTGGGTGCTGACCTTGAGGGTGGGAGCCATTGGCATCTGGGAGGCTTGGGGACCTGAAGGGGCACTGACATTCCCTCCTGCACTGCTCCCCTTGGAATGGGGTCCCTGTGGAGCAGGGGTGGGGAATCCTTTTTTCTGCCAAGGGCCATTTGGATATTTATGACATCATCCGTGGGCCATGCAAAATCATCAACCTAAAAAGTAACCTGCTATATGAGGTCAAACATTTAATTAACTCATCCCTCATGCCTTGGCAGGGCCAAAATGACTTTCTGGGCCTCAGACGGCCCGCAGGCTGGACGTTCCCCACCCCTGCTGTAGAGGACAGCCACTTCATCCATCCAGGGAGTGATGCTCAACCAGAGAGACTTTGGTGGCATCACTGAGCTCCTTGGGGCGGAGGAAAGCCAGAATAGCTGGGGTTGGTGGGACTTGTTCTTTTTGCCCCCACGTCACATGGAGACTCACTTTCTGCAAATCCACAGATGTCAGAGCCACCAGAGGAGGGTCTTACAATGGCTTTGGGGTGTGTGAGGCAAAGAAGCCGGGACACAAACCCCAGCTCCACTGCTTTTAGTTACAGGGAGAGACAGTGAAATCATATGTACAGGTCATCCATGTGGATAGTGCCTAGCACATCGTGTGTTCTGAGTAATCAGTAGCTATTGGTTGTGATAGTGTTACGATCATTATCATTAAATATCAAACCCTTCTGTTACTGGCTCAGAGATTTAGATATTTAGTTAGGTTAAAAGTTGAGCTCTGTCTTCACAATCAATCTAATGGACTGTGATATAAGCATGGAAAGTACTCTCTACTGAAATTATTTTTTGTCTGAATGCCAGTGATCACAACCATTTCTAGTCAGATACTGCGCGTGTCTTTGTCATAAACCTCAGAGATACACTGGCACAAAGAGATAAAAGGCTGGGCATTCACACAAGTATCACAGCCTCTATTATCTCCCATTGTAAATAAACATTCTTAGAATTTTTTATTACATGGGTAATGCATGCTCATTGAAGGAAAATAATGGAAAATGGAGATAAACAGAAAGAGGAGAATGAAAGACATCCAAGGCCTCCCAACCCAGGGCTAAGAACTTCTCACATGTTCACAGATGCATGACATGTGTTTAAAAACTGGACAGCTCTGCATCTAGCACAGAGTTCAGACCAGGTGATGATCCTTCTGTGTGCACAAATTCTCCTGCATAAATTCATTTTCATGTGTGCCAGTTTGGTATTCCGTAAAGCGAATGGACAGAAAACCAGTTCTCTGAGGTTAACTGTGGCAGGAATATGCCATTTTACTAAAATGTCAACCTCATTGTGTGCTAAGTGGGCAAGGCTTTTCAAAAAGACAGAAACTAAATTTATGATAATAGTGATTTTATTTTGTGCTCAAATTCAAGGCTTGTAACTCTCTGGTAATTCTGAAACAACAGAGGGTATCAAACATCGACTCAGAGTAGGTTTTCTGACAACATGTGAGCCTCTCTGACTCTCTACGCCGACAGTGTCTTCGGCAGGTCCGTGCTCTCTCAGAGACCTCTCTGGGTCATCACCACCCACTCTTGGCCGTGGGCTCCCCATTCAAACTCCACAGACTCTTGGCCGTGGGCTCCCCATTCAAACTCCACAGACTCTTGGCCGTGGGCTCCCCATTCAAACTCCACAGACTCTTGGCCGTGGGCTCCCCATTCAAACTCCACAGACTCTTGGCCGTGGGCTCCCCATTCAAACTCCACAGACTCTTGGCCGTGGGCTCCCCATTCAAACTCCACAGACTCTTGGCCGTGGGCTCCCCATTCAAATCCACAGACTCTTGGCCGTGGGCTCCCCATTCAAACTCCACAGACTCTTGGCCGTGGGCTCCCCATTCAAACTCCACAGACTCTTGGCCGTGGGCTCCCCATTCAAACTCCACAGACTCTTGGCCGTGGGCTCCCCATTCAAATCCACAGACTCTTGGCCGTGGGCTCCCCATTCAAACTCCACAGACTCTTGGCCGTGGGCTCCCCATTCAAACTCCACAGACTCTTGGCCGTGGGCTCCCCATTCAAACTCCACAGACTCTTGGCCACCACTTTTCACGTGGTTAGAAGTTTCTCCCGCGTCACTTCTGTCAACTTGAAAAAAATCCTGCTTCTTCTACAAAGTTGACACTTTGGCTTTGCTAAATAATGATATTAGTATCAATTTACGACATATCAAATATAAATGTTTAGATCACCTGTCAATCTCAAAGGGAATGAAGAGGGGCATGCCTGGAGAAAGGGAGAGACGTTAATGTAAATGGATGGGGATTGGTTTTATAAATACTAGAGGCCCGATGCACGGAATTTGTGCAAGAGCAGGCCTTCCTTCCCCCCGCTGCCGGCACCGGCTTCCCTCTGACATCCGGGGCCCCCGGCTTTCCTCTCAGCCCTGGCTTCGCTGGGAAGGACATCTGGTCTAATTAGCATATTACACTTTTATTATTCTAGATAGTTTATTAGAGAATGTGGTCCTATTGTGACTTTATATTAAACATGTAAAAGTGAGGTCTTCTAAGCCACAGATTCCTAAGTTCACTCTTCACTGTCAGACATTAAGTTTACATATTAAAAGTATATTCATATTAGACTAAAGCTATCAGATCTATGATATTAAACTACATTCCTATAAATAAAGGAACTCTTTACACATTCTCTCTAACAGGAGACAGGGTACTATTCAGTCATTCATAGATTATTGTTGTTTCGCTTTTTGTAAAACAGGGTGATGAGTATTTTTTGAGGCTCATGGAGCATGCTCTCCCAATTCACAATACTGATCCCCTTGGTAATCTAGCTCGCCCATCGCCCACGTCTTCAGGTGCCTGCTGGGACCAATTTAGCTTTAGAGGAATCTACCACTTTCTTAGAATCCACAAATACAGACAGAGCTTGCCTCCTCTGAGATGCCATGTCCTTTGGGCAATTTCTTGAATGTGTTTAAATTGATATCATCTCAGGGCCATCTCTGCAGCCTATGCCCTTTGTTTACGTTCCTGCAATTTACAAATAGATTCATTTTTTATTATTTATTTATGGGACGTCACTCCACTAGTCTGTCAGCAGTGTGAGGCCAGAGAACATGTTTATTTTGCTCAGCAATTCATTCTCTGGTCAGAGCACCGTGACTGCGGGTGGCAGGTCCTGAATGAGGTGTTACAAGCGCTGATGGAGTGAACGCAAGTGGCCGCATGACCGGCACCCCAGCCTCGGGGGTGATTCATTGGAGGGTTTCCCTGAGAGTTCATGTTAAGGACACTCCCATTTTACCCTGTTGTCACAAGACCCAGCTGGATCGTGTTCTAACGCGGTGTAACTGTTCAGTCCAGTCCCCGATATTAGTTGGAGGAGGTTGGACGGAAGCCCGTTGCCAGGGAAAGTCAAGTACAGCAAATCCCAGGCTACCCTTGAAATCCCGAACTTTCAACAGGAAGACGAAGGCTTCTACGAATGCACTGCAGGCAACCTGCGCGGGAGGAACCTGGCGAAGGGCCGGCTCGTTTTCTACGGTGAGCTCACGGAATGTCACGTGCATGCGGGTATCTGGTGCCGTCCCGTGTAGTAAACTGTGATGGCCATGAGCACGTTCTGGAGACATGCCCGGGGACAGGCCGGGAAGCCACGTGTCCGGGTTGGGTTGCAGGAGGCGAGTCTCAGTGTGGTCTGTGCATGCTGTCGCTTATCTACTTGCCGTGGCAAGATCAGCCGTGTCCTGTGGAAGCCACAGACCTGTATAACCTGAAGCACCATGGGATCCACTTACTTCCCGTGGGACAGTCAGCGGTAGCCTGGGACTTCCTTTAAGTACAGAAGGAGGAGACAGTGACAAGGGACAGGAGCATAATGCTGAGTGTAGTTGTCAATATCCGTTTCTGTTTCCTAGATATTGCCTACTTGTACGTAGGTAACAGAAAACCAGTCATTACTTCATTGAAAAATAGGTTTGCCTCAGTTACCACAATATCTTGTGCATATACGAGAGATGATAAACGTGCATATTCCCTAAAGGCTGTCTTTATGTTTCTCCCATCCCAGCCAAGATACAACATTTGCATTGAAGTCACTTATTTTTTCATCAGATAAACTATAAAATAGACCACAGAATTACCAAAATACAGAAGGTGAGAGAATTTGCTTTTCAAATTCTCTCACCTTCTGTATTAAATTTAATATATCTGTCCTAGAAAACTTTTGAAAACTGTATTTACACGTGGCCCAAAATGCCTTTCTCTATGACATGTTTGTAGATGACATGTTACTAATCATCAATAAAGTAATTGGAGAAAAATGCCTTTTTGATAACTAGCCATGTCAGAAGTATTGATATCAGCTCATAGGCATGCCACGCGAGTGTCCTGTGGGGACCAGGTAATGTGCCTTGGTTATATTAGCTCCCATTTCCTCCCGGATTTCAATTTTAACCTGGAATGAAAACTACTATGTTATATATAGAACATGATTCCCTGGTGATTATTTCTGTACGCCTGCATGTATGTGTATTTACCTTTCTGCATTTATTCTTTCCAATAGCTCCTTCGTCTTAAAGGAAAGTCTCTGGAATCTAGCATCTTTTGTAAATAAAATAATGAGGATGTGACTGGGAGTTTTTGAGTGGTACCAGGCTTTTGAGCATGGGCTAGTTTTTAATAGATTTCTCACTTTTCTGTTAAATAGACAAAGATAAAACCAAGAGGTTGAGCAGAAGATGGAGATATCTATAAATTGAAAATCGATAGTAAAGCGATCCCTCCTACATCGATACAGTAGCTGTTAGCTTACATAGAAGTTTTCATAAACACAAGCTCCTGTAGTTCTCATAATAATATGAGGCAGAAATAACTTTCAGTGACAGTTATTAGGTAGGAAGCCTTAGGTGAATTGAGCAAGCTCTCACAGGTCATGTTTGTCAGGTCTAAGACGAGAACTGTGAACAATTTTCCTAAACGAGGCTCTTCCCACCTGCCCTCCATCCTCAGCACGGCCACCTACACCCCTTCACGGGGATCTCACAAAACCAAATTGGCTTCAAAACATTAATTCATACCCTACCTGTTTGAGTGACAGCCAGGATAATCCTACCTTCCCCCTGAATAACACGTTCACATCAACGATCCCAGGTGACCTTTGCCTCATGACTATGTAGAACAGCCTCTGGTTAGAGATAAGGTTTTGGAAAATGCATGCCCAGGACTAAGTTAGGTGCAGAACCCATAGCCACTCCACAGTCCTTATTCCTGGCATGAGTTTTATTGGGGGGGAGGGGGAACGAGGGGGGCGGGTAGGTGAGGGATAGGGTGATCCTCCAACTAAAATGCGATGAGGCTCAGATTGGAGTTATACTTCCAGCTACTGTGTTGAATTATGTCTGATACAGATACACTTACTTTTAGTTAATTCAGGTCAAGTGTAATCGGTGGTCTTTGCACACAAAGGGTTCAGATTGGGTCTACATTTTCTAATCTGACCCACGCACTAATACTTGGCCTGGAATGATTATCTGGTCTCGTTCTGCACTTGGACCTTTTCCTACACCCCAAGTTGTCAGAGGCCCACCGAGAGCTGCAGCACGATTTCTGTGGCCCCACATGGAGACCCAGCCTGTCCGGTGCTTCCACACCAAATCAGCTGCCCTTGGTAGCTGCCAACCTCGGCACGGAGCAGGGAACCTTGATAACCAACTGACTTGTCACACGGTTGCTCTGTCTCTCTTTGGAACAGCCCCTCCAGAATGGGAACAAAAAATCCAGGACACATATCTGTCCATTTATGACAGCTTGTTTTGGGAATGCAAAGCCAGAGGAAAGCCCCGGCCTTGGTACACCTGGTTAAAGAATGGTGAGCGCCTCGGTGCAGAGGTAAGCAAAGGTGTCCATATGAAAACTCCCTGCTCTGGTGGGGAAACTGTCACAAACAGGAACAATACTAACATTGATGGAGTGTGCAGTAGGTGCTGGGGAACATAACAGACTCTAGATATACTAATTGATTTAATCCTTAGACAAACTCAAAGGAGCTACTAATAATGTCCCCATTTTTCCCACTGAGGAGACTAAGGGGAGAGAAGACCATCACTTGCAGAGCCGCCTACTGTCAGCACTAGATTTACATCCAGGCATCACCACCATCATCACCATCACCATCACCATCACCATCACCATCACCATCATCATCATCACCATCACCATCATCACCATCACCATCACCACCATCACCACCATCACCATCACCATCACCACCACCACCATCACCATCACCACCATCACCACCATCACCATCACCACCATCACCATCACCATCACCACCATCACCACCACCACCATCACCACCATCACCATCACCATCACCACCATCACCACCATCACCATCACCATCACCACCATCACCATCACCATCATCACCATCACCATCACCATCATCACCATCACCATCACCATCACCATCATCACCATCACCAATCACCATCACCATCACCACCACCACCATCACCATCACCATCACGGGCACCATCACCATCACCATCATTGTTCATATCTACTGAACTCTCCTCTGAGACAGGCCCTGTTACATGTTCCCTGCCTTATTTTATTATATCCTCATGACAACCTTAGGAGAGACACACTGATTATTTCTTTATAGAGATGAAGAAATTTGCCTTCAGAGAAGTTTGGCCACTGTTCAAGGCCATGCAGCAGCTAGGGAATGTTGGGATCAGTATTCTGAACTTTGTCCACCTGGTTCTGGGACCCAGGTCTTCATCATACCCAGTATCTTGCTTTCGTGAAAACCAACGACTGTCTAACCCTGTTTTTCCGCATTTTCCAATCTCACGCATGCGTTCTTCTACACTCCACAGAAAGTGAGGCAGAGCTGCTTCTTTCACATCAAATTATCGAAATCATTGTGTTAATTCTCCCTTTTGCTTTGCACATGGAGGCACAGCCAGAGACAAAAAAAAAAGAAAGACATCTGTTGTTTAGAGGCCGAACATAATGACTGTCTCTGTTCTGGCTTCATTGGGACTTCCCTGCATGCCTTCCGCCCAGAACACCCTCCATTTCCTCAGCCGACTTGTTTCTCTTCAGAGGATGATACTAGGGACCTTGAAATAGTTCGTTTTGGGTTGTGTTTGCAATGTGAAATGATTTCATAATTCGCACTCAAAATTGTCACTCTGCGCCCCAAATGGGAATCGTAATGGGTCTGGGCTGTGTAAGCTCACCTTATAGTTGGCTGCAGAAGAGAAATGCAGCCCCCACTACGTATGATGCAATTAGAAAATTCCCAAGTGATCCATCCAAGTCTTTTTGAGACCTTGTGATGAGAAGGCAAGGATCCATTCTAACTCGGATATCCGTGACTAATATAGTCAATAATGGGAATAATTGGAATGGTGATGTGTTCCAAATTAGATCCTATATAAAGGAATGTAACATACACTCTATGTAGATCATGCCAATTTCCACAGGAATGAGATAACAGAGTACACTAAAATGACACCGGGCATATTTCCATTTTTCTTAACGTCAGGAAGCTGCTCGGGGTCCCTCTGTGTATGCGGCTCATCTTCATAAGCATCAGTTCGCATCATAGCACAGCGATTGCACAGACGGTTCATAATCGGCCCTGATGAAGAGAACGCCCGCGTTAACATCCCAGCCTCTTTACATGACTCCTTTTTTTATTAGGAAAGAATTCAAGTAGAAAATGGGACACTCACCATAACTATGCTGAATGTGTCTGACTCTGGTGTCTACCAGTGCGCTGCCGAAAACAAACACCACACAATCTATGCAAACGCGGAGCTGAGAGTATTAGGTAAGGCCTGCATGTATAACCATGAGATTCAGAATGAGATTGAGCAAGACGTGACTAGACAGAATCTTGGCCCAGTTCTTCTGTGACTCAGAAATTGCTTTCCCTTGAAACAATGGGGAAATGTCTACTGGTAAGTTAGCTTTTGAAAAATGTAGGTGATCCTATTCTGGTTGGGGAATCAGCCAGGGCTCCCGGAGGCGCCACCCCTGGGCCCACCCAACCAAGAGGCTCCTCTAAAGCTTGTCCCAGCTGAGGTTTTGAATATAATGCAGAAAGTTCCAGCAGGAATGTTTTCAGGTGCAAATAAAAATAAAACCAAGGAAAGGAAATCTCAGTTTACAGTGACTTCACAAACAGGGGTTCCTTTATCTCTTAAGGAGAAGGTCAGGGGTGATGGCTGAGCCTGACACAGCACCATGGTGATGTCATTCTTTTTTAAAAAAATATATTTTTATTGAGTTCAGAGAGGAGGAGAGAGGGAGAGAGACACAGAAACATGAATGATGAGAGAGAATCACTGATCGGCTGCCTCCTGCACACCCCCTACTGGGGATCAAGCCCACCACCTGGGCATGTGCCTAACTACGAATCAAACTGCGACCTCCTGGTTCATAGGTTGACGCTCAACCACTGAGCCACACGGCTGGGCAGGGTGTCATTCTTTACACGTTCCTCAGGCTGCAGCCTTGTGGTTCTGGGATGCCTGCTGTAGCTGCCAACATCAAGTCCCTGTTCGAGGCAGATGAGAGAGGCCATGGGACTGACGTGTCTCTCCCTCTCCTGGGAAGAGCAAAATCCCAAGTCCTTGCAGCATCCCTTTTACGTCAGGGACCAGAACCCAGCCAGGGACCACGGTGCGGGATTGGTGGAGTTTCCCACAGTCCCCCTGCTTCTTACCACGATGGCTCGTTCCCTCAGCAGACCTTTACTGAGCATTCACACAGTGCAGAGCCTGGGGCTGCAGGGAGAGGAAGCTAAGCACAGTCCCTCTGGTGCAGCAGTCGACAACTGGGGTCCGCGGACCACTGCTGGTCCATGAGGTCCCAAAGGTTGGCGACCGCTGCATATGGCTTGCATTCCTGCAGGTTAATTATGTGAGTGATTCAATAGCTTTTAAACATTTTGTTTTTTAGCTTCAGCTCCTGATTTCTCCAAAAATCCCATTAAAAAAACTTCAGTGGTTCAAGTTGGCGGGGATGTTGCCATTGAGTGCAGACCGCGGGCCTTCCCCAGGGCCACCGTCTCCTGGAGCCGAGGCGCGCGGGGCCTGGGGCGCAGCCGAAGGTGAGTGTGTCTTTGTGTGTTTTCACCATTTGAAATATCTGGGAATATAATGCCTGCTTTGTGAGGTCTTTCCAAATCCCCTCCCACATGGTAACCCACAACTGCTTATCTGGGTATTCGGAAGTGCCCACGTGGCAGAAACATCAAAGAGCCTCCCAGAGCTGAGACAGGCTGCGTATGTGGCTGCAGTACATTCAGGGCTTGGAATAGATATAGTTTCAAAACTCCTTTAAGACCTCTTCCTCTATCCGGCCTGTAGATTTTTCCTGACACCCCCCCCCCCCCCCATGGAGGAAGAAGAGTGGTGCACAAGGGGAGGGAGACTCACACCCACACACCTGGCCTGTGTCTTTCAAATGGTCACATAGGTGTCCGCTCCCCACAGCATGAGCTCCGCACCCGAGCCAAGGAGAGAGGCTCCGGAGAAGGAAGTGGTTTCTTCCTTGTGGAGGAGATTCCTGTTGCCGGGGGAGCTCTGACAGAGAGAACAGGGAGGGAGAGAGGGAGAGAGGGAGGGAAGAAGGGAGGACAGGAGGAAGGAAGGAAGGAAGGAAGGAAGGAAGGGAGGGAGGGTTTTTAGTTTTTGACCTTGGAAATACCTGTACAGGGAAAAGTACCTTTTTACTCTCAGTTATAAAATTTCTACATGGTCCTGTCTACTTTGAAATGTCATTGTCACTAACTCTTGCTTCCAATAAAGCGTAACTACCTGGGGATGGTTGAGAGGGCTCTAAAGACACCTATTTAAAGGAATCACACTGCACTGCCTACTTATATAAATGGTGCCATGGATATATGTAGGCAATTTCCTCCACTCTTGTGTGACCCGAGACTGCGCACACCACAGCCAGTCAGGGACGCGGCCGCGGCGTGAGGCCAGGTCTCCCGTGCCCACGCGAGCCTTTCCTGCTGTGTGGATTATGGGAACTACTCAACTCTGTATGTTCCAAAGGGCTGTCATCAAAGGATTTAACCAAATTTCACATCAAGCAACAGTTCTCAGTGTGGTTCCCATGTTCTTACCGGCCTGTGTGCACGACTGAAGCCAGGGCTATTTCAGGAGCTCTGCCTTAGGGGGCTGTCCCCGTGGTGGCTGTCAGAGCCGTGAGTTCTCCTCCAACTGAAATAGGTCGACAGCACCGCAGACACACACCCACAAGGAAGAAGGCCCGGGTATGTTCCTTCGGAGAGAGTGGGGTATTCGACACAGAGCCCTTGGGGGAATGGGAAACCAGGGTTCTGGTCCCAGTTCTATCACTGGCCAGTGACCTGACCTTGGCCCACTTGTTCCCTCTGAGGTCACTGTTTCTGGGATTTATTGAAGATGAAATGATAGGAAAGCACCTTTAAGAAGCATGAACCACTATCCCAGGCAGTGATGTCGGAACAGAGATCACATATTTGAAATCAACGCAGCCGTTCACCTGGCAGGTGTACTGGCACATTCTGTCCTAGTGATAATTGTGTCCCTGATCCTGAATTTGCCCAAGTGGCCAAGTGACTGAGCCAAACATGGTCATTTCTGAGAATTGTCACAACAGGTGGCATGATCTGGCTGGATGGGTCGGGGGTGACAGAGCCCTGAATGCCAACTGTAAGCACCCCCAGGGTCCTGAGCCCCATCTTTAGTTCACCGCATGAGGCCCAGCACCAGCATAAACCTGGAGCATGGAGGAGCGTCAGTAGACATTTGCTGGGTCACTAAATCAATGGATGTCAGAATTTACTTTGTTTTGCTTATGTCCACCTGCCTTAAAGTGAAACCCAAAACTCATTTAATAATTAATAGGTCCATGATGTGTTCATTCATTCATTCTGTAAATATTTAATGAGCTCCTATTCTAGCCCAACTGCTAAACTAGGGAAACATGTGGATAAGGCGTTGAGCTGACCACCTATGCCACACACATTATCCTTTCCTAAGGAAGAGTTTTCTGTAAAGTTAATGGAGTCAGGATCTGCATTCAAGTCCCAACTCTGCTCCTCACTCAGTCGATAACTTCCAGCAAGTCCTTTTTTAAAAAAATTGATCTCAGAGAGGAAGGGAGAGGGAGAGAGAGATAGAAACATCAATGATGAGAGAGAATCATGGATCGGCTGCCTCCTGTACGCTCCCTACTGGGGATCAAGCCTGCAACTTGGACATGTGCCCTGACCTGGAATCGAACTGTGACCTCCTGGTTCCTAGGTCAATGCTCAACTACTGAGCCACACAGGCTGTGCCCAGCCAGTCCTTTCCCTTCACGGGTCCTTTGCTGAGTCACTTGAAAAATGGTGAAAATCGTGCTCCTCTCAGATGGTTGTATGAGACTTGGTGACAGGGCAGTGTTGGGGGGGCAGGGTGATCGGGTGGGTTTACTGCTGGGGTCCAGCCTTAATGCGAACCCCAGGACAGGTCCTCACCTCCCCGCCTGGTGACACTGCAGCCCCTGTCATGGAAGTCAGAGGACACAGAGCTCTCCGGGCATTCGCACGTGACCGGGGCACCAAGCCCACACCTGCCAAGTTTGATTAATGGCTCTTTTTTCCCTTGTGGATCCACTTAGCGAGTGAAGACAGAAACCAAAGGTCTGGATTTATCTCCGTCTGCCCGGTGATCCCTGGGGCATTCACCAGGAAGTGTTTGCCCTGGACACACAGCTTAGATGTGTCCTCTGAAGGGACATTAACCAAGTGGGCATATAAGCTCAGAACGGCAGCAATGAGAGAGGGAGAGAGATGCTTTCTATTGTTGAAGGTATAATAACTGAATTCATAAGTACTCTACCACATTTCTTCCTCGTGTTCCTAAAACACCTCAACTCTATCCCAGTTCTCCCTAATTCCCAAAATAAATAAAATAAAACACAGCAATATGTCAGGCAAATGGGCATTCATAAAGAAAATAACCATTTTAAGTGCTTCCTGTATGCTGGGCAGTATACCAGACACTTTCAATATTCCAAAAAATTTAAGGACCCTTTTTCTCACATTCCGATGCATTTCTGAGAAACGAAGTTGACACAGAGCACATGGGTATGTTTGTACCACGTTTACCACAGAGAGCCAGGGACAAAGACGTCATGAATGAGGCTGAGCTCATTCCCCAAGAATCGGGTCCCTGGAGGACAGAGATTCTGTCCCTTGGTCCTTGGTCTCAGAAAGGGACCACGGGCCACAGACTTTACCAAGCGGACGCTGCACACCTAGGAGCCAACTGCATTAAACATACTCCCCACCCCTCCCCGGCTCAGAGAGTATTATGGGTAGTTGCACCCAGATCTGCCATCGGGGTTCAGCCTGGATCATCCTACATCAATGATACCCTTACACCCTGCGTGGCCCTGGCCTTAGCAAACGCATGTACCAGTGGGAACAGCGGGCCCAGTTAGGTGGCATGGAATCTAGTAAAGGAGCTTATTTAGTATTTTTGCCTTTAAGGAATAAAACTTGGAGGGCCCTGCCCTGGCCGGTGTGCTCAGGGGCTGGAGCGTCAGCCTGTGGACTAAAGGGTTAAGGGCAGGCACCTCGGTTGCAGGCTGGATCCCCAGCTTCAGTTGGGGTCTGTGCAGGAGGCAACCAGTCAATGTGTCTCTCTCACATAGATGTTTCTCTCCCCCGCCTCCCTTCCAATCTCTCTAAGAAAAAATACCCTTGGATGAAGTTTAACAAAATTACTTGGCAGGCCCTCTCTACTTCCATCCCCAGGCACTCTAGCCCGGAGACGCCCTCTTAGATCCAGGTTCCACGGTGGGACAGGGCTGTGGGCGGGGGCATGGAGAGAAGTCAGGAAGAGTGGAGGGAAAGCAGAGACCAGGGGAAGGAGACGAGGATGAGAGGGGAGCAGGCCGTTCTCTGTGGTAGTCATTGAGGGAGCACTAGATCTTTCTTCTCGCTGTGGGTAGAAGGTGCCTTTGGGCAGACCTGTCTGGAGACCCTTGACACAGACACACAGAGGGACCAGGATAAACTAGCTTGTCTTCATCCTGCCACTTGATCAACCTGTCGGTCCTTCCTTTCGTTACAGAGCCCACTGCCCTGCATGGAGCTGCCCCACTGTCTCCAGGAGCCTCAGGCCCACCTGCCCCGTGGGCAGCATGCTGGCAGCCTGGAGCCAGGGGCCAGCACTATATGCTCACTTCCCCCTGACCCTGCTCTGTGTGTCTCTCAATGTCTCCTTTTTAAAAAAAAAATATATTTTTATTGATTTTTAGAGAGGGAGAGGGATAAAGAGGTAGAAACATCAAAGAGAGAGAAACATCATCGATCAGCTGCCTCCTGCACAGCCCCTACTGGAGATTGAGCCTGCAACTGAGGAATGTGCCCTTGACAGGAATCGAACCTGGGACCCTTCAGTCTGTAGGCCGATGCTACATCCACTGACCCAAACTGGCCGGCACTCAATGCCTCCTTTCTAAATCACCACCATGCCTTTTTCTCTTGCCTTTACCCCCTAGTGCTCAGCCTTAATCAAGACCCCATCCACACGTGCCTCTTCCATGCAGCTGCAGCCAGGATATGGCTGCCAGTAGGCCGGCCACCCCGCCCCTTTCTCTCCCCGGCAGAGCTCCCTAATAACTAGCAAATAAACCTGATTGTATTTTGTATCACCAGCTCCTTAATGCAATCGTGCTTAGTACATCAGGTAGCATGATATCAAGGAGGACAACGAACCATATGCCCAGTGTTCGAGGGAGAGTGACAGGCTGCATAATGCCTGGCTCATTCCCGCCTCCCCTCCGCGCTGCTTCTGTGTAATGAAATTTTACATCGTTCACACGCGGCTCCTGAGAGCCTTGTTACGGCGAGGCCCTGCGAGGGAATACAAGCGAAGATGTCAGGAGGGATGTCAGCCGCCATCTGCCGCCACTGCCTCCGTCCCGCGAAGATATCACGAGCCCAGATCCCGAGGGTGCCCGTCAGTCTGGCCCTCACTTTTCCTTCTCCTCACCCAGCGTTCCTGGCTCTGTCCCCGGCCTCTCTGGGCTGGGCACTGACCATGGGCAGGCTGCATGCAACAC